TGAGAGTTAATTTTATTTTCAAGCTCTTTTACACTACTGGAGATTGTGAGCTTTTTAGTTTTTTTTTAGTTTCTGAGTTAACATACGTAGCTGAACATACGGAATGACAGACAAGCATACGAATGTTTACACTGACACACACACGCACGTACGTACACATGCACACATACACACGTACAAATACCCACGCACACTCACATATACAATATATTTAACCGACACGCGCGAACACACACACAACTGCATATATTTTCAAACGCATGCTCTAATACACACACACACACACACACATACACACACACATACACACACACACATACAAACGCGTACTTTCACGCAGACGTGCACGTGCATGCATGCAAACACAAATTACACGCATACATGGATTAACATTGAGACATATACACACATGCACAAATTAGCACATGTGCACCCAAATACACACATACAAATGCTCGCACACGAACATGTACACGTACATACGCATATACATAAACACACGCACACATATCCACAACTAGTACTTTTTTGCATCCTGATGCAGCAAGAAAGCGCATTAAAAAAAACACTAAAAAGCATTAGCTGCATTGTTTCTACAATGTTCTGATCAATACTGGTCAGAAAATTTTAATTTTCCAAAAACTGTGTGGGAAATTTTCATTTTTTTTTGCTAAAAGAGTAATATTTTAATGTAATTGCTTGTTATACTTTGCGATTCCGCTTTTATCACTAAAATGTTTATGTTCCGTCTGCCCTTTTCGTTTCCCCCTCCCCTTCCCTGTTTGAAACTTTTCCAGAAGTTTGTCGGAATGATCCTTTAGGGATCCTCCTTTTACGAATAAATTTTGCCGGTACGGCTGTTTTGTTATTAGTCCAAAAGGATGTACAGCTAGCAACTTACATAATTGGCAACTTTTCCAACTGTTTTGGCCTAGCTACGTTGCCTAATGGTCACGTTTGCTAGTGACCATGATGTAAATTCGATAATATAGTAAAAATCGGTAAAAAATTATTTTAATGACATATTCATAAAATTTCCAGCCTTTTTTATGCAGGCACTGATTATGTCTGGTCCATGATGTGGATGTTTGCGCAATCGGCTGTTGGCTGCTTTTATATTGCTACGTTTTTGTTCGGTCTGAATGGGAATTTATTCGTCTTCTTCATCGTGTTCAAGCTCAGGTATTTTTTAAAATTAGCAAAAAGCAAAGAATGTCTACATAGAGGCAAAAGAATAGCGGTATAAGATCAGACTAGCAAAAACAACGTGCATGTAGATTAGGTTCCCAAAGTTTCAGTCCTATAGCTTATGTAGGTCTTGAGATGAAAAACCATGACAGACAGACAGACACACACACACACACACACACGGACACACACAGACAACTCCTTTTTTCAAATTCAAGAACTCAAAAATTTCATTACTGTTTATTATCTGCTTCCTCCTGTTTTCTAAGGTCTGAACTTATGTGAGCTGGATTATCAAAACAGCGCTGTTCGTTGTCGTATCAGAGTTTTGAAAATTTACTTTAAGCTATCAAAATTTATTTTACTTCTTGCTGTAACGACTGTAGTGATAGAGGCAATCAGCAGAAAAAGGGAGGAAAACGTCTACATTTGCCAGTATAATCGCATTCAGTCCGCTCTTGCTTTAGATTTTCCTCCAAGGGCAAGAATATGTCGAAATTCTAGTTACCTTTTTTTTGCCATTTTTCTGAGCTTATATTTCTTATATTGGAATCTGCTTAGGTTTTTTTCGGCGCACGCATCTTCATATGGAACAAATTCAGTTGCACGACACTCCATGCTTTATATCTTAATATTGGCTGCAGCTGATTTACTTGTACTATTTACCGCACCCTTGTCATTCTTGTTTTTGCTCGAAGTTAATTGGGAATATGGCAGTTTTGTAAGTTTTTTTTTTGTATTGGATAAATGCAGTGATGATTTTAAAGATTTACTGGTTAGTTTATTCCCGCGGATCGAATGGCGAACAGTTAGACTACTTTATACTTCTTACTCGCACCGCTGAACTATGCAGACTTTAGCGATTGCCAAAAATCAACGTGCACAGAAAAGCTCCCTTTTATAATACTGCTCAAGTTCGTTGGGAAGTTCAAACATAGTAAGAAAATGTGCGATTTAATGGGCCGAAAAATTTCCTTTCAGTTA